GCCTTCCCAAGAGCTTCGCTTCCTCGGCTTGGATCACAGACCTCACGTGCCGGGGGGAGTGGTGGAGGAGATTCCGGCGCACAAAGAACTGGGCCGAGCTCTCCACCACATGATGTTCCAAGTGTTTACGCAGTTTCTACGCAGGGTGGGGATATTTCAGGTCTAAATCTTGACATATATCTTGACATTCTCACGCATGCATCAAGAGTTGTTAACTACATGACACGAGGACATCTGTGCCACGGCTCACAAAATGGCGAAAACACCTCACACTCACTCATCTGCAATGAGACTGGCCGAAACGGCGATTTGACATGATTTGACCAAGGGACTGGTTGGTGGTTTCAACCACAAATGAGTCAGTGGGACGGTCAGTGGGATTCATCATCCCATGTATTCTTGGTGAAAAGGTGAGGATGGGACGAACCAGTCGGTGAGGTCAGGTCGCTCGATGAAGGGCCCCCGACGGCCTCTGACCCTCCAACGTTGATCCAGGCCGCTGGGCGCCCAGTGGCACCTTTGAGGTGAAGACATCCGTCCTCAGCGGTCGAAGAAGCTGCGATACTGACCCAACACGTGAACGTCCCAGTGTCCTCTTCACCCCCCAAAATGGCCACCCAGTAGCCCACATGGCCAACCCAAAAAAGAACACACTCCCCCAAAACTCCCTCCCTCTTACCTACATCGTGAGCAAGTGACGAAGAAAGAGTTTGATCCCTGCTCATGGCAACACACCAATCTGTGAGGAATCTTTGTCCATTCCGCTCAGGCTCGGGTCCAGTGCGGTCGAGCTGAGATTTGGATTGACGAGAGAAGAGAGATGAGAGCTGGGATTGGTCCAGTCCTAGAGAGGTTGAAGAGCCCCAAGGTCGCCCATCCTGTACCACAGACCAGGGTTCAATCAACATCTGAACCAGTTGGGAGATACCTGGATACCCTGAAGTGAGGGTTTAGACATCTCTACCCCCAAAACATCCGAGACATTCGGCCTTCTTCGCTTCGTCTGAAACCACATACTTCGCGTTCTCGTTGGACTCCGAATCCGAAGAACGTCGAACCTCATGTCGTTGGACCCCGAACCTACCGGAGCACGAGTGACCCAGAGTTGATGGTGGTCGGGATGATCGAGGTTTGTGGAGTGGAGTCGGCTGGGAGTGGAGATATGGCCGGGACTGTGGCCGGGATGGATGAGATCTATGGCGACAGCTGAGGGTGTCGAAACACCGAGATTCTTGAATGGTTGGAATTGCACGACGTTTGGAAGGTTCTTCCGGAAATCTGGTGAAAACATCGGATTTCAACCATCTACCCCCCCCAAAACATGCGATCCTTTCCTCTCTGGTGCGGCATGGTGGAGACTTCTTTGCAAGTCTGAAGCCACTATACTTTGCGTTCATCGTTGGACTCCGAATCCGAAGAACGTGAACGAGACCATCCTCATGTCGTTGGACTTCAACCACCTCAGGCCGACATACCGCTTCACGACCCGTCCGTCACGCCGCCGACACGACTTCGGTCCGTCTCCCAGTGACCACGGCATCGGCCACGACCACCCGTCCGGCAGCATGGGCCTCGGCCTCGCAGAAGGAAAACAGGTCGTGGCCGGTGAAGGGATCCAAATCGGCTCGCAGGTGGGGAGAGATGGGGAACCATTCATGGTGGCAAATCGGTTTGTAAATCGAGATTCCAGTTTCCACGGAGAAACCGATTCACAAAGAAAGAGAATCCAAAGGAGAAATCATATCCGACTTCGAGGAGTCTTTTCCGTTTCTTCACGTTCCGATCTGCTGGAAACGGAAGACATGTTTTTCTCAACAAACTGGAGCACTGGTGCCACTGGACCAACCAACTTCCATGGCTCCATGCTATTCATGTGCTGAATGTTATTTTTTTGGAGCAATTCCACGTAGAAGGAATTGATAGGCCTTGCCAGCGCAACCCAAAGTGAACTAAAACCTATCCAAAACTCCAACTGTTGGACCAACCAACTGCTAAAAGTGATTCCCTTCAGACCAACCCCCACTCACACCTACCCACTATAATTAACCCATATCATGAGATCATCGTCTCCAAACCAAGCCACGTCTCCATCGCCTCCGCCGCATCGTTCTCCTCCTTGCCGTCGCCGACCTCGCTGCCAGGCGCCGCGCCGCCTGCGCCGCGCGCTGCGCCACCAGCATGGCCACTCGGTGGCCCGGGCAGCGCGGTGGCATCGGCGACGAAGAGGCGCCGGAGGCCACGGACCTGGATGATGGCTGGGGGGGTGAGCGAGGCAAGGAAGATGAAGGAAGGAATGGGTTTGAGGAGTGTGGCAATTATGGATTTCGGTTATCGATTGGGGTTGTGGCATTGGGAAGGTTTTGGGCATTGAATCATCTGGTTAAAGTCACCTGCAAAAGGGAAGGCAAGTCCTGCATGGGCCCAGCATGAGCAGTGGAATTTTCTGAAATCTGGCAGAACGGGCTATGCAGCGCAAACCCATCCCTATCAGCAGAACCACTCTCCATCTCAAGCAGTACAGGATCACTTGGTACACCACTTTTCCAAGCGCGATTGACTTCGAACCTCCGACAAACCTTCAAAAACGACCAATCGACCAGAAGGGGTGTCGTGCAGCATGAAACTGGTGTCTGATCAGAGTCCGTTCAGTTTTTCACAGACCTGCTCCGACGGCTCCGGGCGATGGAAATCACTTCCGAGGGGCTGAGAGCTCCTCGTGGACCCTCGGCTCGTGGACTCCCGGGCGCCCACGCGGGCGGAGCAGAAGTGCTGGTAGAGGTCAGCCTTGCGAGAGCCGCGTTTTTCGGCCGCTGGGAGAGCCGTTGCGGCGTCGCGGGTGGGTGATTCGTCCACTTGACCAAAAACTCGTCCAAAGTGGATCAAGGTACTTTCAATGAGAACCTTTCAACTCGTATCAAATCTTCAGTGCACTCAAAGTTGTTGGAACGATGGCAGGGAATGATCTGTGAGGCTTAAGATTATGGTCATACCATGCCACTGGCGGGAAGCATCGGACGAGTAGACCGTGGACCCCTTCGATGACGGTCAGACCGTGTGACATCTGGAAGGTAGAAGAACATCCTCCAAAGTCTCGACTCTGAACAAATGGTCCCAGTCAAAACTCGAGTTTGGGGCACAATCCCAGGTCGTTCAAACCCTTCTGGAAAGACCTGGGCAACGTGAACACCTGAAGACCTCGAGCGTACGTAGCCGCGTAGCCGCGTAGCCTTTTCCTCGAGCACCTGGCCTTCTCTCGCAGATCTTCCTTCAAGGGCTTCGTGCTGAGGTTGTCGGCCTCCAAACCCAAGGCGTGTGCCAGGCGAAGAAGGATCTGCTCCAAGTGCTCGTAGTCCTCATCCTCAGAACTACGGCGCCCAGTGCAATGACTTCTTCAGAGATTTGGTGCCCAAAAAACTTGTTGCATTACTGATACGCCAGGTAGACATGCATTTCCACTAGCACCCAGTGGCTATCATCATCACACCGTGTACATATTCTTGATTAATTTTGGTATACCTGGATCTTCCGCCTTTTGGCTGATTTTGTATGGATGAAAACGGCACACATTTGTCGGAAGATCCAAGTATATCAGGCAAGACCCTGGAAAGGACGTCATATGACCTGTGCAGCTCCCTGCACTTCCGCCCAGTCGCCCACCAGCGGGGGAACTCCACCGGCTCCGCGGCCTGGGCAAGTGGATCGCTGGGAGGTGAACGTATCCGGACTTGACTGGTTGGTAAGCCGGTTTCAACACGAAGTGGTCAGTGAGTTAGTGGCTCACAGGTGAAAATATCCCACGACATGTGACTGGTTGGTTGCGAACCAAGATGGTTCAGCACAGGAAACACGATTGGTGTCATTGGGACTTGGGGCTTGCTTTAAACCTCAGCCATGCTGCTGTCGACCGAGTCAACGAAGATGCAAGCGGCCAAAGTCGAAGCTGTTTCTCTCAAGGTTGCAACCACGTACCTTGGAGGAGGAGTCCCTGCGAGAAAAGACATCCATTCCGAGAGAAAAGATTTCAATATGGATTCTGGTTTTGGTCGTTTTTACCAGTGGTTTCTTGAGAGGAACAGCGGGTCCATACTTGGGTCCATTGTTGCGAGGGTGGAGGTTATGTGCCCAGCTCCGATTCACATGTTGATGGCTAAAAAAGCTTTCAACAAAACTGTCTTCGAACTCTGCTTCTACCAATCTTTCCTCAGAAATCTTCAGTCATCTCCAGCAATGTCCCCACTTCACAAATACTCACACGGTCGTTGTCCACTTTTGGTGCGAGAGCTCCTTCCTCACATCCACAACTGAGAGGTGGTAAAGCAAACCAAGCTCCGCTAGCCCTAAAAGACATGAAGAGGTAGATGCAGGAGGCCCCCCCACATGCTCGAAGACTCCTTCGGGTTCAAACCCCTTTAACTCCAAACAGTACCAAAGGCGACCAAAGGAAACTGCAGTACAGTTCCTAAACAAAAAGACTGTTAAAAACATATACTTTCCAACAAACAGAAGTGGAAACCCTTGACTTAAACCTTCCACCTGCTGACACGCATGAAACTGTAAAGAAAGACACATGAAAGTGGAAATGCATTGCTTGTAAGGGAAAAGGGTCTTGCAACATGAATTCTTGACGTGTACCGGCGATTTGCTATCAGCTCGTTTGTTTGGTATGTCATTCCCTTCACCCAAAAGCAATGCTCTCATAGAGCCGCTTTTCTACAAACATCCACCCACCACACCCCCAACCAAAGGTGTCTCTTTTGTTGCTGCCCATGGCCCACTTCACCACTTCAATACCGCCCGGGCGCAAGCGCAGCTCTGCCTCGACGTGGGAAGACGTCGTATCCGAGCGGAAGAAGGCAAGCGTTGCAACTTTTCCGCGAAGAGCCTCGGAGGGTGCTTGGCGCGTGGCGCGTGGCGTGTTCGAGAAGGGGTTGATTTGGATGGTGTGGACTGGGAGGGTGGCACCCAAAGTCAAACCCTATTGATTAGATTAGCATTGTCATTTCGATGGGTATTGGATAGTTCTGTCTTCGGGTGGGGCGTGACCAACTTGGTTTTGCTTCATGTCCCAATCAACGGTTCGTCGGAGCGGCTCTTTTTCTTCCGGAAGATCACTTGATGCCTTCTCAAACACACCCAGTGGCCAGGTTCCACTGGTGACTGGGGCACTCGTGGGCCATGATGATGCGGGCCACCACCCACGCCACCATGAGGAATCCTGGCAGTGCAAAGACTAAAAGGAAGAACAAGGCTCCTATTCGCCTCGCCGGTTCTTGCCACATGATCGATATCCATGTCATGGCCCACTGGGACAGCTTCAGCGTGGCGCTGAGGAGGCCCAACCCCAGCGACACCAGGATTTTGAGCCGCCCCCACCCGTCGAAGCGGGTGAAGGCGGCGCTTAAAAAGGCCGATTGCAAAAAGAGCTGCGGAAGATTCTCCGCAAGGACTTTGATCAAAATGACGCTGTTCGCCTTTAAGCTGGACCTACCGGCGCCTTTCGGGCCGCGCTCGTCGAAGTATGTGGCCAGGCCGTGGAGGCCCGCCACGTCCGCCGCGAGGGCTGCGGCCGCGTCCTTGTGTCCCGAGCTGAAGCCCGCCATGAATAGAGCCGGGTGTCCCGAGCTGAAGACGCCCAACTGCTGCGCGGCCGTGGCGAAGAGGAAGCTCAAGGCCAAGAGGCCTGACAGACCCAGCCACTGCGCCAGCGGCTGAAAGAGCTGTGACGGCCCAGCAGCTTGGAAGGCGGCGACAAAGCGGCTTGTAGCATATGGGTCGCAGGCCGCAGCCTGCCACGGCATCGCAGCATCGGTGAACATGTCCTTCGTGGTGAAAAACTGCGCTCAACAAGAAATCCGACCAATCCAATGAAAGTCTCTTTGTTGGTAAAAACAGACTGTGCACGCAGTTGAGGGCAGAAAAGAATCAAAAAGAAACTCCCCCAAACCTCAAATCCTGTCACGAGCATCGTGCAAACAAAACAAACTAGCAAAAGAATGCAAAAAAGCTGCAGGGCCGGCTCTGG